CTATGTAAAGAACAGAGAGGCATGGACTTGCCACTTGCATGAGGTCACCCAGCTCCTCGGACAAGAGCAAAACTGAAGCTGCCACCTACCTCCACACTCATGGGCACCTGCCAGGTGCTATCCCAGCAGTGCATCCTTGGGCAAGTCCCTTCCCCCTCTGTGTCTGTCCCTGCATGCCCCTCCATGATGCTAGAATTCCTGGGGCAGAAGCAGACCCTCACTCAGGGTTCCTGCCCCCAGGTCACCCCACTGAAGGTGTGCAGCTTTGTGTGTTATTTGCCTGCATATCATGAAATGACTACAGGGTGATTTCTCCCAGAGTGTTAACAGGTTTAAGACTTGGCCCCCAGGAGTCACAAACAGTGGTTTTGTGATGAAAAAGAAGGCACTGGGGTTTGAACCTAGTGGTCTACCACTGAGCCACATCCCCAGCTCTGTTTATTTTGAGACAGGGTCTCACTAAGTTGCCCAGGTTGTCTTCTAACTTGCAATCCATCAAACCTCTCAGCCTTTGGGGTGGCTGGGGCTAGAGGTGTGCCACTCACTGTACCCAGCAGGAGCTGGCATCTCACTAGCATGTTTCAACCCCTACCCCAAGGAAGAAAGCCCTGTAATGCCAGATTTGTGGGACCCCAATAGATCTCCAGGAGCTGAATCCGATGCAATTACACAACAGTCTTTATTGCAAGCTCGAGCCTGGACTCACAACCGTTTCTGACTCAGTGGTCCCAGGGAGTAAGTCCCGGTCCTTTGTTCAGTGAGATTTTATAGGTTTTTGGGGATTTTATAAGTTCTATGTGTCACAACATCACACAGCAAATCATTTCATACCGTGGGAAAATCAAACAGCAACTTTTTTTTTTTAAAGACAGAGTGAGAGAGGAGAGAGAGAGAGAGAGAGGGGGGGGGGGAATTTTTTTAATATTTATTTTTTAGTTCTCGGCGGACACAACATCTTTGTTGGTATGTGGTGCTGAGGATCGAACCCAGGCTACACGCATACCAGGCGAGCGTGCTACCGCTTGAGCCACATCCCCAGCCCAACAACTTTTAACATTGATTAGCACATTCACTGGTGGGAACAAATTAGGTAAGGGTGATTGGTGAGTTCAAGAGGTAGATACATTTAAACTGATTGGTTTAAGCTGGGAGGGGTGTACTGCTAAACTATAGGGTTTCCTAACATGTTATCAATCACCGAAATTACTGGGAGGGTCACCTGGCATTTCAGATATTTTCCCTGTCTCATGCTGATTGGTGGTTACTAGGGTGTTGCTGTGGGTCCTCACCTAGCGAAACTGAGTCAGGGACACCTGGCGCTGCAGATCTCTCCTGTTAAACAACTCAGCAGGGTACGTGCCTAGGAGAGCTCAGTGGTTTTTTCAAGGACAAGGGTCACACCCCTCCCTCTGGACAGGCCTTAAGGTAGAAGCTGGTTTCTCAAAAATGGAGTCACATCAGTTTCTCACCCCACCCCGAAGGCCTGAGGCAAAGCCACCAAGACCAGCAGGCCCCTACGTCCTCCACAGCCCATTTACACAGCAGTACTCATACTGAACCTCTGCTTTGAGCCAGGTTCTGCTCTTGGGGCCCAGAAAATGAAACCCTAAAATATGGTTTAGAGCACGCTAAACAAAGTGAATTGCTTCCGCCCACTCCAGTGTGGAATTCCCTTATCTGCTTTAAGAGCAGACTGCAAAAGATGCCTTCCATCCCCACCTGAAACCATATGATTCCAAGACTGAGGAATGAACCACACCTGGTCACTCCAGGTCTGGCCCCCTGGCTTATTCAGATTCCAAAGAGAAATTCTACGAACTAATTTCTATCCCAGAAACCATTCCCCCCACCCCCAGTAATCATTCACAACCCCTCAAAATTGTCTACATCCCCCATTCTCCCTCTCCCCGGCTTCTGATAGGGCTGAGGCAGCACACTCCTGTGACTTCTCCCAGAGCTGTGACTCCATTTCTGCACACCTGCTGTTCTATTTAATTTTTGTCACTTTATTGCAACAAACGTTCACAGGATGAAGGGAAACGACCCTCTGCCCTGACAATGCCCTCCACCCAGGCTCTTCTCCTTCGCTATCATCTGCTCTACACTTAAGTACTGTGATGCAAATTATGAAAACCATGTTAGCTCAGCTATTTCATGAACAATTTTTAGGACTGGACTGATGCAAAGAGGGAAAAAAAAGTCTCATTTTTCAAGTTAATCAAAATTAAGGCCAGTTTAGCCCACAGCCAGCACAGGCTTCATAAATGAAGGTTCAGCTACATGAGAAATCAAAAAAGGGAGTTTGAATTAAAGAGACAGACTCTAATTACCTTTAAACCAGCTCCAGGACGGCTTCTCCTACCTCCAGCCTCAAGCTACCTATTATAGTTGTGAGGTTTACTGAAGAGACGAGAGAGAGGAGAGAGAGAGAGGAGAGAGAGGAGAGAGAGAGAGAGAGAGAGAGAGAGAGAGAGAGAGAGAGAGAACATGGCAGGAAGTGGACTTTTATTGGGGAACAAAAAATTCTGGGGAAAATCCCATCCAATGAAGATTAAGGTGGGCAGTGTCCCAAGGTCAGGTGCAACAATTGGGTCTTCAGGGGTAGTGGCCAGACACACCTCCACATGGACAAGCCCTCAGACCTGAGAAGGGTGGGGAAAGCTCTGGACACAAAGATCTTGCCCAGCCAGGGAGATAACTCAAATCACGTGGGAGGATGGCCTCCCACAGGCCAGGGAGCTAATAAAACTCCTCAGAGCCATTATGCATCAAAAGTCCTGAAATTTATTTTAAGGAGTTTTTCCTAAAAGCAGTAAGCTGTTTTGTGTATTTATTATTCACTCCAATGATTCCCACTAGTATTTTTAAGAATCCCTCCCAAATGTTGAAGAAAATTGAAATGTTTTACACATACCAGGGGCATCTCAGCCAGGCTCCAGAGACAAAAGGAGAAGCTAGCCCGAGACACCTGGGGCCACCTTCTGTCTCCCTCAAAAAATTTGTCCTGCCTACCCAGGGCACTCAGGCAACATCACTTACTATTTCAATGACCTCGGGGAAGTCTGTCCTTCTAAGCCTTGGTTTTCCCATCTGTCAAGGGGGATAACAGTACATATGATGAGACTTAACATTTTTGAAATGCCCAGCACAGGCTGTTTTTAAAAAGCTATTTCTTTGAACCACTGCCTATGCTCAGGGCCAGACCACGTGGTACTCAATAAACAATTTTTCCAATAAATATATCTCCTAACAAGCCCCATGAGGTCAGAACCCATGTGTTTCCACCAATGGAACTGGGCACAGGCTCATGCCTGGTAGATGACACCCTGTATCTATTCTCAACACCCATTCTACAAAGACAGGGTGCAATACAGTCCCTTGGGAGCATTTACCATGTAGACACCAGGGCCCCACCCCCAGAGATTCTGTCCTATTTGATTTGAAGTAGGCCCTGGATATGAACTTTAACTTTTTAAGTAAGAAAGTCAGAGATTCTAAAAATGCAGCCAGCATGGAGAAGCACAGATCTAAACCTACAAGTGTCCCAGTGGGATGTCCTCATCCTGTGGGGCTGCACAGCAGAACAGGAGGGGAATTAGATTCCTGGCTCGGGCATCCCCAGGAGCTGAGGGGAAACCGACTCAGGTGCATACCCTGCATCAGGCTGCCTTTTAGCACCATTTCAAAAGATGGAGGTCCTCGCCTTTGGCTGTACACCTAGCTGGCCCCAGTGCCACCCAACTGCAACTGGCCTCCGTGTAACTGCCCACACGTTTGAACCTCCTCTGTAGTGACAGGACACCACCCAAGAACCAAAGACCTGTTCCCATGCTAGGACCTGAGGGAGGTAAGGAACAATGACACCACTGAACTTTAAAAAGTCCATTCACTTTGATAGCAAGCACCTTCTAGGGATTTACTCCACAAGAATGCTCACGCCAAAAAGAAAGTCAATGAGATTTAATGAAAAGAAAAAAAAAACACACACACACACACACACACTATGTGACAACATGAAGTAGTCACAAGCTTTATTTAAGAAGCGAAAAGCCTGTAACAAGCTAAAAGGCCCCAATATGAGATGGAATTGTAACACATCCACACACACAGAATAGATGAATTTATAATGACCAGAAATACAAAACTCTGGGTAAAAAGAAAAACAGTAAAGTTGTAAAACATTACGTACATAACTTTAAGAAAAATGGTATCTATGCACAGGAAAAAAGCCACTGTTCTGAAAGGGGTATGAGAGTCTCATATTTTCTTTTTCTAATTCCTATATTTCCACAAGTCACCAAAGAAAGCTGAAATGCTCTTAGAAAACACAGGAATAAAGCAAGGTAAGAACATTCCCCAAGAGGTTGACATTGTAAATAAAAGCTTTATTTTAAATTTAAAGAAATATTTAAAACAAGCAATATTTTTACAAATTATCATCAAAGACTTAAAACATAATTTAGGAATGAATTCTTAATTGAAATGATGATATCCGTAGAATACTCTGGTGTTGGCCAATATGAAGTTTACTTCAAACTAGTTTTTTACATATGTTTAACATTAATCATCCTAATATTCAGTGATTACAATGATTCAATGTTATAAAGTCAAGCAAGTCTTTTGTGTAATATCTCAGATAACTTTTTCAAATACAAAACATTTATGCCAGGCAAGGAAATTAAAAAACGTATATAAATTATACTGAAGGACTTGATTTGAAGGCTGTCTCTATGCAGATAGATGCAACTCACCTTAGAAAGCACATACGCCTCAGAACACTAAACCACATGTAGATGCCATTCATTCTCTTAGTTGTGCCACAGAGCCAACTGCAGGTTCATAAATGTCACTCTACTGCAGGTTCATAAATGTCACTCTACTAAGTGTCAACTGAAAAAAATATATGTCCCAAAACAGTCTCTGAAGGTATGTGGGAGTGGAATGTGCTGGCATTCAGAGCCGGGCTGTCCCAGGACCCCCATCTCCAGCCAGCCCCCAGGAGCCACTAAACAGGTCCCACCCTCAGAAAGACAAGATGGTCTTGTTAATGATCTCCACCGCCTCCAGGATCTCGTCCTCCTTGATCACCAGCGGAGGAGCAAGCCTGATGATGTCGCCATGGGTGGGCTTAGCCAGAAGCCCATTATCTCGAAGCCGCAGACACACCTTCCAAGCATCATAATCTACAGAAAAATAGTCACACACATGTGCTCATCAGAGACAGATGTCTGAACATCCTCTTCATGTACATGGTGACAGCTGGCAAAAGAGAATCGCAGTGCCTACTCAAGAAGGACGCACCAAGCTGCAAGCTAGCTTTATTCAGATTGTTTAATTTTTGGTGGTAGGGATAGTACCCAAGTGCTCTACCACTGGGCTATACCCGACCCTGCTGTTATTCTTAAAAATTAAGTTACTCCTGGCTGGGTGCGAAGCTCACTTGGCTAGCATGTACAAGGCCCTGGGTTCAGTCCCCAGTACTGTCAAAAAAACAAAACAAAGCAAAAAATTAAAATTACATGAGCAAATAAATTCTTTCCAGGTGTGCTTGCACACACCTGTACTCACGGCTACTCAGGAGACCGAGACAGGAGGATCAAAAGTTTAACACCAGCTTTGGCAACTCAGCAAGACCCTCAGCAAATTAGAAAAAACCCTGCCTCAAAATAAAAAGGGCATGAGGTCAAGTGTGGAATTTTCCACCTCTGGTGTCATGCTGGTGCTCAAAACCTTGAAATTCTGGGGCATTTCATATTTTCAGATTAGGAATGCTCAACCTGATTATATAGGAACTAACCCCAGAAAACGTGGTGTGACACGCAAAGTTCACTCAGAAGGAGCAATACTCAAAACTTGGTGATCACCACACATCCCTAAAATGAACCTGCTGCCCGAGCTGTGGGACGAGACTCATCCCTTCACGGCATGTTCTGAACCCTGACTGCACATCAAAATCACCAAAGAGCCACTGCTGGAGCCAGTGCCCCACCCTGACCCATCAAATCAGAAATCTCTGGGGCGAGGCCAGGCTTTGACTCTTTTTAGAAAGATCCCCAGGTGACTCTATAAAGTGCAGTCGAGCCTGGAATCACTGCTTTAAAAGGAAATGTTATCACAAGAAAATCCAAAAAGGAGCCATGGAAGGTTATTTCCAACATACTCTGGAACACTGAACCCTCCATTAAGTGACAGCTGGCATTATTTTTATTATCAACACCATCCTCATTGCTATTATCATTACTGCTCCGACAGGATCTGGGTGAGGGATAAAAGAACAGCAAAGAGGAGACTCCCAAGCACAGTGTTTTGTCCAGACTGACAGAAAATAACTCAGAACCTCCAAGTGCTGTGTGACCCTGAAGGCAGAAAAACTGATGCCTCAGACGAGTGGCGGCAGGTCAGTCAGTTAAACGTGTGCTCGCACTACTCCACTGGCCAGCGGACAGTTCAAGCAGAGGGTCCCTATACCCAACTACAGTGGCATCCAACTAACATGTCACACATACTCTAGGCTCTTCCTTTAAAGAAAAAAAAAAAGGAGTAAAATGTGTGCTTGACATACCTTTGGTTTCTCTAATAACAATTGCATTTAACAGCCCTTTCCCTCTCACAGCAGTCACAATATCAGAGGGCAGCTTCATGAGTTCGTTTCTCAAGACAATACCCATCTTCTCCGCATTTGCAGCAAGGTTTTCTTCTTCCAAAACCTATAATTAAAGAAAAATTTGAGGAACGTTAAGAATGCCCTTTTCTGGTTGTTGAGGTTGAGGCTCAGTGGTAGAGTGCCTGCCTAGCACATGTGAGGCACTGGGTCGATCCTCAGCACCACATAAAAAAGTAAATTTATAAAAAATAAAAAAAAAATGCCCTTTTCTAATTGTTGCTTGGAGGGCAACATGGACTACAAGCAAAGGAAACATGACTACAGAGTAACTTAGTTTTCTTTCTTTTTTTTTTTTTCATTTGTTGTCTAATTAAACAGACATCAGCTCAGAGCTTTGCTTTTAGTCACACACCTGTTGTTAATCTGACTTCACAGCAAAATAAAGATGTATTTCATGTATATTATGATATACTATCATTTGGACACAATAATTTGTTGTTAATTTGAAGACTTTAATTTTTAAATTGCAGAGTTTCCTTTCTTTCCTCTAAAAAATCCATCCTCAGAGACTATGTAATGATTTTATGCCTAAGTCTAAAAGCACTGAAATTCTACATTTTGTGTGTGGTGCTGAGGACTGAGCCCAAGACTTCAGGCATGCTAAGCACGGGCTCTATCTACCTCCAGACCACAAAATCCACACTGGGGGGTACCCTTGCTTGCTAAGCCAAAAGTAGATCAGTAGATTAGCATTCTCTTGGAGGCTCCTGTAACTGGTAACCCAAGGCAACAGGTTAAATTTACCTTTGGAGAATGCTGTGCTCTTGTACTTCATGTTCTCTAATATTTTACCATCTTATTAAATTTCTTATTTCATCATGGGCCCAAATTAAAAATCACTTCAACACTACCTAAAGAAGTAGTTAAGTGTTTTACCTCAAGGGCTGCAATGGCCACGCGGCAGCCTAGTGGATTACCACCGTATGTAGAGCCATGCTCCCCTGGTTTAATGGTCAGCATGATTTCATCGTCACACAACACCGCGGACACCTAGAAGACAGTGAGTTCTCCCCGTCATTTCTCAGACTAAGTATTCTCATTCTTAGCATACCAGGAACACGAATATTTTTACAAATTTGATATTAAAGATACACAAAACCTTCAACAAACAACAGTTTATATCTGTCACCCTACCACCAGCAGAGTGATAACCGAAAACATTGCAAATACACTCGGTGCACTTCAATGGCACAGAACGAGACAACTTTGGAACTAAAAGTGAAAAGCTATTTCTGTAAGATATAACTTAGATCTCCTCCAATTTCAAGGGGAAATGCTCTGTCTGGGTGCTTAGAAAAAAAAGCTGCACACCCCCTCAAGCAAGACAAGCCAGCAGTGACTCCTCTCCTCAGAGCCTTCATCTGGACCAACTATTAGTTCTGGAGAGCAAACCCAAGAACTATAACAAAACACCACTGTTTGCAATCTCTGTGTTCATTAGGCATGGTTCTAAACAATTAGTTATACCATATTTCTACACACTGGGAAAAAAGGACAGACATCTACAAAAGGAGGTTTCAGGTAAAATGCTTCCATCCAACCAAATGCCATGGCAAATTCCAAGGCATGCTCCACTCTTTAGGCAAAATCAACTAAGAAAGAAACAGAAAACGTTTACTACAAATATTCCGGGTGGCCCACAGTGCTGTTGGTAAAAACCAACCACCTATCCTAGTAAGTTATATTCTGTGTATGTACAATATGCCAAAATACACTCTACTGTCATGTATGTCCAAAAAGAACAAATAAAAACATTTTAAATTTTTAAAAATTTTAAAACCCCATCATCTGAAAGGCATGAATTGCTACAATCAGTAATGTGAAGGTATTTCAGAAGTATGCTTCAGGAGAGCAGAGAATGGAAAGAAAAACTCAACACTAAACTTACAGGGTATAAGCCACCAGAAAGGGCCTTTCCAAGAAGAACCAGGTCAGGCCTGACATTTTCATGATCGACAGCCAGCCATCTGCCAGTCCTGGCCAACCCTGTCTGAATCTCATCAGCAATAAACAGGACCTATTAGGAAACAACACAACAGCATTAATTCTCATTTTTCATTTCCACAGAGAAGATAGTGACAATTTATTTCATTTCCCTCTCCCAGCAAATGTATAATTCCGCATGCCCTCCAATCTGGGAAAATATCTTTATTACCCACACAACTTCAAGAGTACCCTATGAATCCAACACACACCAGCAGTCTACGGCAGGGGGCCACTACCTCCCCAGGAGGCCATGGGGTACTGCTCTAAACAGTGGAGAACACTTATGCAAATATGAGAGAGTTGGACGACTTTTCTGGCGGTAGCTACCCTATGGGAAAAAAAAAAAATCACTTAACTGCCCCATGAACGTTCCTCAGATAGCTTCCATGAGACAGAAACTGTCAATGGCAAACAAAATATACTAATATCAGCCTTGGTGGGAGAAGAGGTTGGCCATAACTTTTGGAGCAGAGGGACACAGCATAAGGTTTGGGAGACATTAAGAGTGCAAGGCTCCTGGGGAAGAGAGGAGGGAAACAGTGAGGGCCTGGAGGTCTGCAGCTCTGCCCACAGCACTGGCTCTGGCCCAGGGTTCCAGAAACTGTCAAAAATTAGCCTCCCGAGCAATCTCTAAGTACTTGCAAGTTCCTAAACTCTTGGATTATGTCTCCCTCTAGTGGAAAGGCGATTTAATCTCCACACTTATCCCAACTAAATTCCGAAAGAAGTAAGGCAGGAGCCTCTAGATCTGTTAGGGTAGACAACCTGGTGCCTGGTGCAGAGTTCTCTCACTCCCACTAAGTAGCCTGGATCCGGAACAACAACGCCAGCTTCACCCTGAATTGGTTCTACCATGAAGGCAGCAACATCGGGATCCTGAAGAGCACGCTACAAAAGAAACAGGAGTAAGTTTTAACAACTTTCTTTCTACCATATATGGAAATCTAAAAGCATATACTACACATTTTCCTGTCAACAGTTTTAAGTATGCAAATCAAGTTTTTTACACTTATATTCTACTTCACAAATGTAACATTTCCCACTGGCATTCAATTCCCGGACACTCTATTTCAGATTTAAATTATACTATCCTATATTTTTCTAACATATAAATATATTATAAATAAAACCTATAGCAAATGGCATTTTAAAGCTATTTTAAGGCTTTTTTACTAAAGTACTCCACTTGGGAGCCAGGGATGTGGCTTAATAGTAGAGCATGGGTGAGGCCCAGGGTTTGATCCCCAACATCACAAAGAAAAATAAAAAAGACCCTATTTGATGACTTTAAAAAGCTGGCTGAAAAATGAAATTTTATCTAGGAATTAAGCAGGTAATACCCAAGATATTAGGAAAGATACAAACCTGAAGAGGCTGTTTGGTTGGTTGGTCCTAAGGATTAAGACCACAGAACTGTTGCAAAGTACTGATCATTACAGAGAATGAGTCTGAAACTTTGACCCAACTTGAATAAGACAAATTTTCACTAAAGTCACATAACTTGTTGATTTGCAGTGCTGAGGATGAAGCCCAGGGCCTCACACATGCTAGGTTAGCACTCTCACTGAGCTATCTTCTCTGTCCTCATAGCATATTTTTAATCCACATATTCAACAGAAAATCATTCAAAATAATTTGTATTCACTATGAGCTAAGCACCATGATACACTGAAGTACCTCAAGTGCAGGAAGATCATTATATGGGATAATTTCAAAACCCGGCATAAAGGGTCCAAAGCCATCATAACTGGTTGGGTCTGTGGAACTGGAGATAGCAGATAATGTTCTACCCCAAAAGTTTCCAGCTAGAAAGGAGAAAAACAGTGATTATTCCAAAGAAACCCACAAATTTGATAAGTATTACCCATACAAAATACTTTGGGAATTCTGACTAAAAAAAGAATTCACTTTGGAGAACCTCTGATGAGCTTCTACTACTAAAACTAGTCCAATATTAAACATCTTGGTTCATCTGACCTAAGGCTACTAGGTCTGGCCTTGGAATTCCTACTGAATTCCTCCTACTGAGAGGCCTTCTCCCTGAGCCTCCTGGCTGTCGTATAGAGCCCTAAGGATAAACTCACTCACTTTACCTGGACTCCTCCCAACCCTCATCTGCAGTGTATATTTTCTAGAGAAGGCACATTTATGATGCTGATATGAGAAAGAGAATACCTTCCACAGAGGATCAGGAGTTTACCTTTTAAAACCCTAATACTGCAGGGTAACTACCAACAGAATGCATTTTCAATTTCATTTGTAGAAAAGATCCCGAGGCAACCAATCACTTTCCATTTTGCCTTCCTTGCTATTATAGTACTTTATCATCTAAATGACAGACCACTGCCTTTCTTCAGGACCACTATTCTACCCACTAATAAATGTGACTGAGGACCTACTAGATGTCAGGCACTATTCCAGCAGCAGAGGATGAAGGGAGATCACACTAGCAAGCTCCATGGCCCTCAGGGAGCTTCCTTTCTAGTAGGGAACTAACACCATAACACATGCCAGCAAAGTATCTCACTAGGTAACTTCAGATGGGGTAGAATTCCAGAAGGAAAGGAATGTAGAATAATAGAGAGGTTAGGGGTTCACCTACATTAAGGATGTTTTTATATCTTCCCACCACCTCTGCCAGTAGCAATGCCATTAATTCAGTATTGGATTATTTTCTCAATGCTTCTTGGCATCTCCAAGTGCTACTCTTGCAAGGGCCTCCTCCTTTTCCTCCTCTTGCCCACAAGTAACCCTGTCTTTTGCTCATCTAAAAACAAGAGTGTTTTGATTCTGACCAGGCTTATGAAAAAATGCACCGATAAGACCGGGAGCCTGTCTGTTCTCTGCCTAACCTCAGGTGTCTCATCCTCCACAGCTCACCCTGCAGGTATAGGGGACTTACAGTTGGGGACAGTCTTCCGCTGTCTCTCCACCCCACAGACTCACCAGCTTCTTTCAATACTCGGGTGAAAACATCTTTGCACCCTTTGCTAATATGAAAGAGACTGGAAACAGTCTGTAAGAATGAAAATCACCAAAAATACTATTTTTGTTTGCAAGAGACAGTTATGTTGTCCTAAAACTAAGACATAAGACTTTAAAATGGCAAGTTACAGAGTTATATAAAGATTTTTTCCTTCGGAAATACTAATCTGTCACCTCAAATACCAATTGCCTCTGTCCATCAAATGAACTCTGGCTTATACTGTGTTACGGGGTTTATAATTCAACAGCATGTGTTCACAAGTTAAAATATTAAAGATTTCAATTATTAAGAATTAACACAAGAATAATTTTGACCAGAGTGACAAATCAATATATACTTTTTAAAATTAAAATCAAACCTTAAAAAGTCAAAACCTGTTATTTGACCATCATATAAAGATTCCTAAAGTTAGATGACATCACCTCAATTCACTGTTAGCTTCCCTAACCAGAATTCAAGTTGTTCCTCTCATTCTCAGGAGTGTAATGGGACAACCCCAGGCCTCCTCTCCCTATAGCATCTAAGAAGGACGTGGCACAATGGTACATCCAATATTAAGACTCAAGAGTCACACAGTACATAGGATGTGGCCCTGCTAACATATCCTCACCCCAAAACATAACAAAACCCCTCCAACATAGGCCATCTAACTGAAAAACCGCTATGGAAAAAAATCTGATATGCAGATGAGAAATTTAATCATAGGGTCACTCACTTGGGGGAGAAAGAGTAGGCGTTACGAAAATCTCATATATGAAGAAATAACTCAAATCCAACAAGAGGAAATTCCTCATTGATTTTTATGAAACATTCAGCAAATAACGTATCATGTACCAAGCAAGCACATTAGAAATATTTCATCAGTAATAAAATGGAAAATGAAATTATATGTTGAAATCATAACAGCATTCAGTGTCACGTACCTGCGAACACAATCTTGGCCTTGTATTTCTGAATGCCCTTCACAGAGTAGCCCCACCGGCGTGCGAGTTTGCAGGCAGTCTCCCCGGCCTCCACTCCTAGTTGGGGGGAAATGCTCAGATTTTAAAAGGCTTTAAATTATCAGGAATTAAGATGATTTTCTTGGGGATTTAACCAAAAAAAAAAAAAAGGAAATGCTTTACCTGTATTCATAGGAAGAACTTTGTGGTAATTGAACAGTTTGGTAACATACTCCTCATATTCACCAAGTACATTATTGTAGAAAGCCCGCGATGTTAAGGTCAGCTTGTCCGCCTGAGTCTTCAGAGCATTCACGATCTTGGGGTGACAGTGCCCTTGGTTGACAGCACTGTAAGCACTCAGGAAGTCAAAATATTTTCTTCCTTCTACATCCCATACATAAATACCTAAAATATGTCAGGAAGAAAAACAATTTTAGAAAATGACTACATGACATGAAGTCCAAAAATTAAGACTGCCAGCAAGCCCTCTAATGCCTACGTGTAAAACTCTACGTATTTTTTTATGGTTAAAGTTATTTTAGTTCAAGCATAATAAACTTCAGTTTATAAGGAATTATTAAGGATATATTTTATCTATTCAGCTTCAAAATACACATTGAACAAGAACAGCATGAAAAGGTTATGAATTCTGGAGTGATACCTTTACCTAATTTTAACATTTAGCAGGCAAAATTAGGATTTAAGAGTAGAAAAGTTAGCCAGGCATGGTGGCACACATGTGTAATCCCCATGAGACTAAGGCAGAAGGATCGTGAGTTCAAAGCCAGCCTCAGCAATTCAGTGAGGCCCTAAGCAATTCAATGAGACTATTTATAAATAAAATATTAATAAGGACTGGGGATATGGCTCACTGGTTTAGTGCCCATGGGCTCAATCCCTGTTACTAAAAAATAAAAAAAGTAGAGAAGTTACACATGATAGACAATAATTATTAAAGGACATATAACAACCCATAGGAATGTTTGGCTGGGTTAATTGGTGCACACCTGCAATTACAGCAACTCCAGAGGCTAAAGTAGGAGGATCACAAATTTGAGGCCAGCCTCAGAAATTTCATGAGACCCTACCCTATCTCAAAAAGTAAAAAGGGCTGGGGATATGGCTCTGTGGTAAAATACTCTAGGTTTAAATCTCCAGTACCAAAAGAAAAAAGAAAAAAAATAGGGATGTATTTGCAAATCGTGTATCGGTAAAGATCTAGTATCCAGAACTTTTATACTCAATAACAAAATTCATTAAAAAAAAAATAGACAAATAACTTGATAGACATTTCTCCAAAAACAAATGGCCAACTAGCACAGGAAAAGACTCTCAGCATCACGAGCCATTAGGGAAATGCAAATCAAGACCACAATAAGATACTGTTTCATGCTCCCTAGAATGTTGATAATCTTAAAAAAAGAACAAGTTTGGGCAAAGATGTGAAGAATTTGGAATTGTCATATATTGCTTGTAGAAACATAAAATGGTAAAGCTGCTATGAAAAAGTTTGGCAGTTCCTCCACAAGCTAAGCACACAATTATCACATGACCCTACAATTCCACTCATAGAGTATACCAGAAAGAACTGGAAGACAGGTGTTCAAACATAAACTTGTATGGCATTCATAGCAGCCCTATTCCACAACAGTCAAAACCAATCCAAATGCCGTCAGCTGTTGGATAGTAAACAAAATGTAGTACAAACATTATTCAGCCATGAAAAAGAATGAAATTCTGATACAAGCTACAACATGGATGAATGAACCTTGAAAACATTAGGCCAAGTGAAAAACTGGACATACAGGGCCACGTAGTATAGATTCCATTTACATGAAACATTCAGAATAGGCAAATCTATAAAAAGGCGGAAAACAGCTCAGTGTTCCATCAGCTGTGGGAAGGGGGAAAGGGGATGAATGTTTAATGGATGTGAGCTTTCCTTTGAGGTAATGAAAAAATTCTGGAATTAGACCAAGGTGGTGGCTACACAACATTGTAAATGACATTTTATGCCACTGGACTGGATGCTTAAAATGGTAAATTTTTACATTAGGTGCATTACAGTTTTTTTAAAAAAAAACCTTGACTGTAGACATTAATACTCGTCTTTTACCATGTGCCACACTGTGTTATGGGCTTTCACACCTTATCAAAAACCCCCTTATGAGAGTTACCATCTCTATTGTACCTAGGGCTAAAGAAATAGAAGCTCATGTTTTAACTAGCCTGGGCTGGCACAGGAAACAGGAATCAGAACTCAGGGAGCCAGACTTTCAGGGTCCACACTCTGCTAATGTATGTCAAGAAAATTTTTGACAAATTGTTTCCAAATACGTAAAACATAAATCTATATTTTCATTAGTCAAAAGAAAATATGTCTATATTATAGTACTGGTCCCAAATAATACTGGTAATGACAAAATATTTAATATATTTTCATCTTCTGGCACAAAGCCAAATAATAAAGTTTGGTCTAATTTGTTAAGGCTATTATCTCATTTGACAAGTCGCCATTTGACAATTATCACTGTAATAGTTTATTTGGACAAGAATCATAGGTATTAAAATTAGAAGTAAAAGTTTCATGAGTAACAGGACACTTAACAGTCTCAAACTATGTCCCCAGAAAATTCTTAATACAAAGTGAGAAATGTAACTTTGCACTGGAGAAGCCTGGCAGACACCACCTTGTCAATTGATGGAAATCAACACCAGCAGTAAATGGGCATCTCTTGCCGTGATGCACTGAGAAGGGCAGGACACCACTGCACACAGGTGTCTGACCTGACTGCCATCATAAGCAAACACCAGCACAAACGGCAGTGCACTACAAAATCATCAGCCAGTGTACTTCAAAACATAACAAGATCAAAAAGATAAAGATCGAGGAACTTGTTCTGGATGAAAGACAACTAGACCTGCCAGGCACAGTGGCACACACCTAGGATCCCAGCGACTGGAGAGACTGAAGCCGGAAGAATGCATTCCAGGCCCACCTTAGCAAGGTAGTAAGACCCTGTCTCAAAATTAAAATTAAAAAGAGCAGGCAATGTAGTTAATGGTAGAGTCCCATGGGTTTAATCCCAGGACCAAAAAACGAAAAAGACAATAAATCTGACACCTGGATGTAACTCATAATCCAAAATTCTTTTGTTATAAAGGACAACTAATGAATCTGGATCTTTTGATTAATAATGGTGTTATACTAGTGTTAATTTCCTGATTTTAGTAAAATTACACAAGATAAAAGTCCTATATCTTAGGAAGACACACTAAGTATAAAGGGGTGAAGATACATCATGTCTGCTACTTGCTCTCCAACAGCTCAGGAAAAAATGTACAGTACATAGTTGGGAGGGGATAGAAAGCATTCCAAAAGCAGTAAAATGTTAGCACTCAGGGAATCTGAATAAAAATAAAAGTAAAAGAAAATATTTAGTATTGCTGTTACAACTTTCCTTTATGTCAAAAATTAGACCAAAATCAAAGCTAACAGGGAAAAAAAGACAGCAATATTATGGTACTTTCTGTATTTCTCCCACATTCCCTCTAATGAGGCCCACCATGAGGAAGAATAGCTGCTCATTTTTGTGGACCCATGGCAACACTGGATGCCCTGCAAGGCGGAATGAACCTCACCTACAACATGGGCATTCAGTGCATCTGGGCAAATAGAGAATATAGAAGCAATTCATTTTTATAAAAAGTTTCAAGCAGGGCTGGGATTGTGTCTCAGTGGTAGAGTACTTGCCTAAGATGTGTGAGGCACTGGGTTCAAGTCTCAGCACCAAATATAAATAAATTAAAAATAAAGTCCACTGACAACTAAAAAAAAATATTAAAAAAAAAAAGTCAACTACCCAATACATACCTCTCCCTTTCTCCAGGGCGACAGGTAAAGGGTGGTAATTGTGTGCACCATATTTAGATTCCCGTTCAAAAATGTAATCCGAGGATGGAGGTCCTTGGACTGTCTTTTTAGTTGCAACAGATGTGGCAGAAGCCACTGAAGAATGAACTCCACGGCAAAGCACAGCAACAGCCTGCAGATGCGCTAGCTTAGAAAACATTATGTCCTCCAAGTAGGAAAACCACAGACCTGTCCAAAGAAAAGACAAGGCATTGAAGACAAGCCTTCCCAGAGTCAGCCTCTGCTCACTGAGCATCTGTTGAGCATCTAAAAAGGGACACAATCAGAGAAGGCTACTAGAGAACACACTGGGGCAGGAGCCAGGACCCAGAATGATTTTGGGGCTCGGAGGTTTGTGTTCTGAGACCTGGCATCATCTGATCTCTCTGTTCTAATGTACCTTGCCTTGGAGGGGGTTGACTTCATGGGCTCAAGTGCTCCTCCCACCTCAGCTTCCAGAGTAGAAGGAACTACAGACCTCAGCTGCCACCACCACCCTCCCCAGCCCACCCTACTCAGCTGGCTTCTTTTTTGTATCTGACTCTGTACTTTTCTGTGGGGAGTGAAGCAATTAAGAAAGAACTTAGTTTATACGAAGATATTAGGGATCATCCTAAAGGAAAACTAAAAGATGTGGAGAGGAAAAGTTGACTTTAGCGGGATGGGAAGAGCTTATACCTAAAGAAAGGAACTATAAAAAGTAAAATTTTTATTAGCCACAAATATATAAAAATTCTGCAGGTCAAATTTATCATAAAACAAAGGTGAAAGGCAAAAAGACTAGGGAAAATGTTCTGTAATTTAATTTGTGAACGTTTTAAACAGCCTTTTATAGTCAGACCAAAAAATAATATAAATGAAGGAGAAAAAGACAATTAGGGCCTAGAAAACATCAAACTACAATTAAGTTAGTTGTTTGAATTTTAGTACTAAAACCTGAGCAGGTACATGATGGCATACTCAGTACCTATAGTCCCAGTTACTTGGGAGGCTGAAGCAGGAGGATTACAAATTTGAGGCCAGCCTGAACGACACAGAAAGACCATCTCAAATAAATACATCCATTAACTGAATAAAACCTTAATAGAGAAAGGGGTACAGCTCAGTGGTAGAGCATTTGCCTAGCATGAGTTCCTGGGTTCAATTACCCAGCACTATTTTTTAAAAAAAAGAAAGAAACTCTGAGCATCTCTGAACACATACTATTCACTCACATATATTTCTGCATATTTCAGAGTCACGATACTGTTTCCATTCCCTACCAGTCCTAGTGTAGTGGCACCCCCTCCTCCACAGAAGATCTTCTTCAGAAATCTTCACCATAATTGATTTTAGGACTATCAGCAAGAGTCTCTACAAAGAGTTCAATGTAAGCAAACTTCCTATTTTCCTGTTGTTCTATTTTACTTGGCCACTGGCCTGGAAGAAATCTGCACTCCAGGTGCTAAATGCCCCTTTACTGGTTTTTCACAAACATTTACCCAGAATAGTAGTTTGTAAAAGTGTTTGCAAATGCAAAATGTAATAATAAAAAGACAAATCCTTTAACAAGGCCTCTGGCCTTGAAATGGGCTTCACAGAGATGTCTACATTTCTAAGATAAGAGAAGTTACCAACTGGGCTCCATGGTAACAGCTGGGGGGGGGGGGGCAGGAAAGAAAGAGGGAGAAAAAGCTCTCCCCTTCTCAGGTGTTGTCCTTGAAGGGTTAACTTGCCCAGAGGAGTGAAAGAAAAAGCTGCTTTTATGTGAGCTTCTGCAGACTGTGAACTTCTAAGCCCCTCTCCTTATGTGCTGGGTATAAAGTTCTGAAACTACCTGAACTTGGGGTTCAAAGGACTAACTGATTACAGCAAAAGCTGTACCCTCTGAACCTGGCTGCAGCCAAATAAAACTATTTCGTGCTATCTTCGGTGCCCTGTCTCATCTGTCCCCTTCAACAGTAATACTAGACCCACCCACCTCTATATACAGTTTACCGCAGGATTGTGACAAGTCATGAAGTAGACTAAGGTACAGAAGAAACTAAGAACAAAAAGGAAATGCAAAAACATGGACAGAGATCATGTCTGGGGGAAGTTTTCAAGATAAACTCAAGATTAGGAGAAAGCTGCCAAAAACTAGGCATACTTAGTAGGCCTATACATACTTATTTTTTTAAAGACTGGTTAATTCATGTTTCAACAGAGCCTGTTCATGACAAGTCAAACCATGCACAATCTTACAGCATTCATGACATGAGCTGCCAAATTAGCAAAACACAGTCCTTGGGTTGGCTCACTTCCCTTTCAACTTGGCACCACCCAGCAAAGCCAGTGTTCAGAAATTTACAAATGCTAAGCAAAATCAGAGGTCTGGTTTGCCAAAGACTCACCAACGATTCTTATTTCTCACGGTTCAGACTAGAATACAGATTTTCCACCTGAGATCCAAGGATGTTTTTCGAAGGTCCAATAACTCCTAAAACACAATGCAGAATTTTAGGCAGAGGTTTTCATTTTTCTAAGGAGAAGATCTATAACTTTCTCAAAGGGCTCTGTATTAACAACCAAAAAAGTGATATAAGAATCATTAGACTAGAGGTGGCTGCTTACAAAAACATCCACTTGTACTGGACAGTACTTCCCAGAACATCACTAAGCTTAAAATGCTCAGTTTTCATTTCTTTATGCAGTTCTTTATGTGCTACTCAGTACAATTGTTTCACCTACTTGTTTCACCTCCTAAAATATTTCAATGACATTAATTTTTGCCTATCAAATTAATAATAAAACAGCAATGTATCCTCTCAAGCAATAGTTTGGTGGCACTCTAAACTTGGTGCAGCTTTCTAAAGAGATCTACAGCCAGAATAAAGCCTTAGGTGTGTTCAAACTCCAACCAACAATTTGACTCCCAAGACTTTATTTTAAAAAAATGTTCAGGAATGTGGAGAAACATCCATGTATAAAAGATGTTTCATTATGAGGACGGTTCAGTATTATTGAAGCCAGATTTAAAGATAGGTAGTCAGTGTAGTTAGGTAAATCGGATCTAATATCAAGTAAAATCCAAAATGAAGGCCATGTTACCAATGCCCAGGAAAAGCAGAACAACTCTTTAGAATGTTAATGTCCCCAAGGTCCAGAGCCCATCCCAAAGAAGTGTTAATGAAACAGCTCCCAGCAAACTTGAAGATGCTGACCCAAAGTCCTTTCTGCCCAGATTACTCCTTTGGCCCACCTGTGCCCCACCCTTAACAGGACAGGAACAGGACAGGAACAAAGGACAGGAATGTGACAGGAATGTGGGAAAGCTAAAAGCTATAAAAAAAAGCTGTAAAAAGGGGAATACACTCGCTCTTCCACAGATTCCACCTCTTGGATCCCCTTCTTCCTCCGGAGAAGTCTTTTCTGCTGTCCTTTAATAAAGCCTCTACTTTCCACTCTAAACTTGCCTCGGCATGCTTCTCTGGTGTTATACTTCAACATTGGGGAAGCAAGGACTCGTCACCGGTAGACAACGGTAACATTATCATATACATAAAGTGTAGCCACCTAAAATAAGCATTGGATGGTACGTTGGGGTGTCTCATGTCAAATGAAGAAAATAAAATCACACATGTGGGATACAAAAGATAAAAGGAAAAAAAGATCAGGACAGGCACAAAAAGGTCACCATGGCCAGTTTACACTATTCTGTGCCTTTCACATTTTTTGCAATGACCATGAATTACATTTATAATCAGAAAAAAAAAACACTATTGAGAATGAAATTGAATGTCCATCTGGTTTTTACATTAGACAAAGAAAAAACTTAGGCCACAAACAAAGATAAACTAGAATACGGGGTTTCACAGACTTTGAGAAAACAGCATGGTTAAAAGAAAGATAGAAGCCACTACTCCTAGGATGTGCAACCTTGATTATAATTAAGTCCAAAGGTTCATTTGTTCCTTGGGGACAGGGTAAAATTATAAGAAACTATGCTCTATGATGATTAAGCTACCAATGACGACAACTGTGACTTTACTAGTAGCAGACAGAGAGGCACTAAAAAAAAAAGGCCAGGGGGGTTATAATTTACAAAGCATTAAACACACACTGAACAACATCATTTTTAGTTAACAGACTGCAAGTGAAAAGAATCTTTGTGATTATAGAAATTCCACATTCTTTTGTTATACAACAGTTATCTGTTCAACTAATTCCCAACCGAAATGGGATCAAAAAAATCCATTTATGAGCAGAATTCAGATAGTTTTATTAAAGGGTAATCATAAATTAGTGACATAACATTAAAATCATCCTTAAAGATGAATTCTGGATTCTTAGTTGGACTGGGAAAGGTCACAGGGCACACACACCGTGATGTACCAGAATCCTGTAAACATGTTTCTATTAAAGAGCCTTCTGTGTTCAGGTTACTGTGCTTGGCACTATATAAGAAATATTAGAACAGAATTAAGATGACCTTAAAAATAGCCAACATCAATAATTCCTCCTTCCAAATGAGTCTGGAAAAACCAAAAGAGTCAAATGTCCACAGTTTGGTGACCAGGATTTAAATTCTGTGATTCTGAAGAGTTTCTTTGGGTAATTTTGTCTATCCTTCTAAACTTCAATTTCTCCATTTGCAAAATGAGGCTGAAGCCATTCAAGGTCACCACTGAGGATTAAGGCGTTCACATGCAAACTCAAAGCTGGCACAAAATAGCCATTTAGTTCCCTTCTGCCCTAAATTCACAAGGAAACTAGCCAATTTCTACAACATAAGTCAACAATGCCATATTTTAGGTCTTAAACTGGATTTTTTTTTCTCTTAAAAAAATAAAATTTTCTAGGGGCTTGGGATGTGGCTCAAGCGGTAGCGCGCTCGCCTGGCATGCGTGCGGCCCGGGTTCAATCCTCAGCACCACATACCAACAAAGATGTTGTGTCCGCTGAGAACTAAAAAATAAATATTAAAAATTCTCTCTCTCTCTCTCTCCCCTCTCTCACTCTCTTTAAAAAAAAAATAAATAAAAATAAATAAAATAAAATTGTCTTGACAAAAATTTAGAAAACACAGACAAGAAACTTACCTGTAACCCCATATATATGAGACAGCCATTATCTTTTTTTTTCTAAAAACACTATATACACATTGTTATTATTGTTTTCTACCATCCCCTACAGAATTTACCACACAAGTCCCTCCAGAAGGGTCCCGGAATTTTGCAGACTTTTGTCACAGGTCCTAACACTTCAGGACACTTGTTTTCAGGCCTATTCCCCTGCTGGTCAGTGACGTGTCTTAGAATTTACTTGGCCCAGTTTGGGGCATGCTGTTGGCATTCTCTGCCTGTCAAATGATCCAGGTTATTCCTAAGTAGACTCAGAACTCCTAAAGTGGTCCAGATGGCAACAGAAAGTGACTGAGACTACCAAGATGAGACTTAAGTCACCCATCCCTGACCAAGCAGAGGTAACTAAGGAGGCTTTCACTCTCTGCATCCGAAGAAACTAATATTTTCACCAAGAATCCACCCTACCAGATCTAATGACCTTTGAAGATCAAAATAAGGTTACAAACTATTGTTGTGCATTTCATCAACACTCAGAACCTGGAAATGAGAACAAATTACTAATGACAAGCTAAACACTTTCAACACTTCATGGCTTAAGTAATCTACCTAATTAACACAATCCTTCAGGCTACCATTACTCACTCCCCCTCATCAGCCATCTCATCTACAGTAGATCCTTCCTACAACAGAACTGCCATAAAAGGCCACATTCTGGAGTTAATTTGGCCTGCATTATTAAATATGATTTTCTTAAATTACTCTGAAAGAATCATCAGTGTAAAGTCATCAAAAAGCCATTGAAAATATTTACTTTTCTGAGGTAACCATTCACAAACACAGGCCTCTTTTTTTTTCTTTTTTAAAGTTCTGCCAACAAAAGCTTTTTAATGCAATATTCTGGCTAAAATTCAACTCAAGTACGTCAATGGCAAACAACTAAAGCATTACTACTGAGAAAAGATTGGGTAAGCCACACCGCACCCTTCACACACCTCCAAAATCCACCCATTCTCTGGTATTTTAAGATAGGACATTCACCATCCTCAAGATCTCAGTAAAGGGCATAAAATGTGCACCTAGATAATTGTAGTCAAGACTGTGCAGGAAAAACATATGAAACAGCCTCTTTGAGAAAAAGTATCTTTTTTAAGAATTTTGAGTACTTATGTTGGGAGGAATGCAAAATTAATCTTAAACATCATGAAAAACTGCAAACCCCAAACAATAAGTTCTGTATTTAAATCTTGTTTTTATGAAAAGATTCTACTTCCATCTTCTTCAGAGTCAATAACTAGATTCTCTACTTCGAGAAGAATCCGGATATTCTAATGAAAAACATCTAAGGTTTTTTTTTTTTCAAAGTAATAAGATAAAGATTTGGGATCACAATTTAAAGAACTGCTCTGGGTCCAAGGTACGGAACTAATTTACCTACAGAAACTCTTATAACCCCAGGAGAGACTGAGAATGGAGAAACTGGGAAGTTAGTGATGTAAGATAAAGCCAGTTCGTTCCAAACTCGCTCTCCCTGCCCCTTAGTTTATCTAAAACACAAAGCTGAACGCCAAGAAGGCAAAATTCAGCAGGCCCAAGGGGTCACAGTGGTTCGCCAGGAGCAAGCGTTCCGCTGAATGCAGCTGGAATGCACCATGCTGAGCAAAGGACCCTGAGAATGGGGTCTTCACGCTGAAAGGTCGTTGGCCCCCAGCCCTGAACACCACCCAGCAAACGCGCACGTTACTGCACCGTAACGACCTACTTCCGTAATTCTTCTATTTGGACAAAGGCTGAAGGGGGAAGAACTGAAGAGGGGAGGGATGGGCAGGGTTAGCGGCGGGGCGCCGGGGCTGCTCGAGAGGCGGCGGACCCGCCCGTAGGTTGCATCAGCGACCCCGCCCGAGACCAAAGTCGCCCGCCGCCTGCGGCGTCCCCGGTACCCACGAAGCACCCTGCTCGTCGCCCGCAGGAGCCCAGGGCGCCCGGGTGCCCGCGCCCCCAACGCCTCCTTCCCGGAAACCTCG